AGTTGGAGGAAGTGTCTGGAGGGAAGTCTGGGCATCTTTGCTTAGACTGCTGCCCCCGCGACCCGGTCCCGGATAAGCGGAGGAAAATGGATGGATGGATGGATGTGTCCTTGTGAAAAGCTGATTAGAAACCTGTTTATGTATACATGGAAGAAAAAAAAAATCTGCATTCTCCAGTACCCTGGGAGATCAGGTTTATCTAATCCCCTACCCTGATTACAGCAACCAGATTACTTATTTACATGACAGTTAAGAAATCAGCTTACTGGAGACAGTCGTCTATAACCTTTTAACCAGGTTACTTCAGTGTGTGTAAACACAGTCAAGCTGACAAGTTGTTCTGACAAGCTTTTTGGTAGCTTCGAATAGGTAGCTTTGGCAGATACGGAGCGACCAGGATAGCTGACAGCACAACAATGAAGCAGTATTTAGCCATATGTTGGTGGAACATACTGAATATATGGATGCACATGTGTGTGTGTGTGTGTGTGTGTGTGTGTGTGTGCAGGAGTGACTTGACGAGTTTCAATGGACTGAAACTGTTGGTCACTGTAATAAATGTGAATTCAAGCTGACCACAGCCACTGTTTCTTATTAAAAGATAAACTCGCAGCCAACTTTTCAGGCCGGTGAGGGTATCACTTAAATGCATTTGGTTCAAGGATTTTATTGTCAATTCACCATATGTGCAGGACATAGAGAAAATCGAAATACCATTTCTCTCTCACCTAGTATTGGGTGCCATAACATTTAGGGACTAAAAACAGAATAAAGTAACTATGGGTTTTAATTAATGCATGAACTGCTGTGTTCATGTATCCGAGTACAAAGGGGTGGGGGGTCACTTCCTCCCCTCTGTCTTCCCAACATTCTTACCACTGGGGCCTCTCCTCTATCCTCTGATGTCAGCCTCTGCACAGCCATTATCAGGCCATGGAGATGCTGTCAGCCTCTCTGAAAAGCCTTAGGTGTCAACTGGATCACTGTACATACTGTGAGAGGTCCGAGCTGCTTAAGATAAGAACAGGTCTGTGATGGAAAGTCTGTCAACCCCATCAAAACTATTTATGACTGTACAGTCCTGGGCAGTGTGCACA